AAGACAAGCTTATTGTTATTATCAAACGATTTACGTTATCCAGCTTAACCTCACTATTTCACTACATTTCAAACATCTTAGGCATAATAAGGAACAGGTATTTTTCATCAAGTATTGATATGTTGAACCTTAAGTCCCTACATAATATGATAAAGAACATTTAAAAATTAGATTATATTTTAACAATAGGATAAAGAATTCTATGCTTCTCATGTTTGCCTGTGGGCTGTTCTGAGACTGTTCCGACTAGTAGGAGTAGGTGCGGGTGCTTTGCAATGAGGAAGTCGAGTGTGGCTCAGTGTCACGTTCTGCGACATTTAAAGACATTGTACTATAAGAATGATTCAAATTTGTTTAAGTGAAGATGAATTTAGTATACATGAGCTGGTTTTTAAAGCACAGTCTACATGAATCATAGTGCTGCTACTCGTAGCATATATGTCTGAAGGTGTAAGAATGCTCTTAACACCTTGCTTAAAGTTTACTAAGTTCATATCCAAAATAGAAAACAGCCAAACCATTGTTTTAATTTTATATAGCATTGTATAGTATTCCGAAAGCTGATTGCTTTCATCTCCCTTGTAGTCGTTGCTAGTGCCAGTACCTTTGCTGGATGGCAGAAGTCTCACATTTCTGGGCTTACTTTCTGTGACTATGTCAGAAATAAATAGAAACTGTTATTTTAATAAATATTAGCATCACAAATGGAATAGCATGCAAAGAGTTTCTGTCTCCTTTGTAGGTACCAACAGCACTGGCTCCACACAGAGTAGAGATTTGGGGTGTGGCTTTTAGTCACACATGCTTTCAGGGGTCTGTGGCATGTAGCAAGGTCATCTGCTTGGGGACACAGAGGTTATTTGCTACATGAGTTATTAGGAGTCTCGGGCTGGAATAACAAAGGTGTTTGCCTGAGTGATTGGAAACAGCGAACAGTGCTTGAGTGGCCTCCTGCTCTTGGGTGGAGGTCACTTTGGTCAAGTCAGGTTTTTCAGAAGTTACTTAGGTAAGATTTTCTAACCAAACTTTTTTTATTATATGCTAATTTAAAAAGTTAAATATAAACAGAATCTATATAGGTCTCTACTTCCAAATAGTACTTATTATGAATAAATTTAGGATACTGCATTAAAATACTGAATTGTTTAGAGAGATCATTTTATTACATCAAATTATTTGAATTGTTTACATGTGTAATTGGTACTGTATATTTGTTTTAAAAATACATTTTATATTTTAAATTAAATAATTAGCATCTGTTCTTTAATGTATGAAGGCTGTTTTATGTATTATGTCTGTCTTTTGTATTAAGAAAAGGCACAGTTATTGCAGAAATGCTGGACTTTGGGAAATTGTTATCTTGGAAGCAAAATATTTTCAATACCACATTAGTTTTTCAGCTTAAGAATAAAGCTGGGAAAATTTGCCTTCAGCTATTAGTTTTCCTGAATCCAAAGAGACGGGTGGGGCAGGATCAAAAATACTTATTTGATCAAAGTTATTGGCTCTGAAGGTATTCTTACCTATGTAAGAAAGATGAAAGGTGTTGTTTTTATTGCACGCTAGTAACAGTGTAATTTTGAACTAATTGGTGTTGAACTGCCAATCACCTGGGGGAATGCAAATAGATACTCTTACAATTTCCTTTGAGGTCGAGAAATCCTGTGTCGGGGCTGGAAGAAAAACAGAATAATACCGTTAAATTGACCTTAAATGAGCTGCTTTGTGGTTTTGTTGGAGAATCCCTTTTTATTTTTTATGACTTGTCTAAACAGGTTTTGTCTACCAATTTGACTTATTGACTAGACAATGCTGACATTGAACATTTTAGATTTTTTAAAAAGTAATCATAACCCAGTTTTTGACAATATTTTCATTTTTTTAGTATAACTTAAATAATATTCTACTATTTTTTTTGGAGCATATAATAATTTCCTCACATAGCTAATCTTTCTTTCTGGTCACTTACATGATGAAGTATTCTGTTCCACAAAAGCTTCTTTTTCACTTAGGTATTTAATATATTACAATGTAATAGAGGACAGTGATGTTCTTGAATACTGTATTATTCTAGCAGAATGTAGTCATTTAATAAATGCATGGCTTATGTTAGGACAATAGAGTGTATTTTTGATTTTTGTGTGCCAATCAGTACTTACCAATCACTCATTATGTGGCAAGAGTTGGGTCACCTGAAATAAAAGCATTTTAGAAATGTCACTTCTGTATTTTCTTTTGAAAAATCATACATTGAATGGTCTAGACACTTGTATTGAGCTTTGTAGACCTACCCACAAAGTAAGCATTTATGTCTTTTTGCTTAATTTCAAATTGGCAGCAGGAATATGGTCTGTTCTGATATCCATTCCCTTTCAGAATTCTGAATACCCATATTATTTTTTCTAGCTTGGAGCAGGTTAGTAGAATAATACTTCTTTACAAGTATAGAGAATGGAATTGTATTTTTAATTAATGGAATATAGACATTAAAGGAGTGGTAATTACAGATACACTATAAATAATTAAGATAAAAAGTAAAATACTTATCACTGACACTGTCATATCATTTAAACTTTGAGAGACATTTGAAAATTGCGTGTGTGTGTGTTTGTGTTTTGTCTTTTTGAGATAGGGTCTCACTGTGCAGTTTAGGCTGGTTTTGTGCTCACCGTGTAGCCTGCACTGGTCTCAACTTGCACCATTTCTCCTGCCTCAGCCTCCTGAGTGCTGTGATTAAACGTGTGCCACCACGCCTGGCTTGAAACTTACATTGATCTCCTTGTTATGTGAAAACGCCCATTAATTTTATTGTTCAGGTACTTTTCCTGTTGCTTTGGTTGTCAGAAACTTAAAACTAGATTTGTAGTCCAAGTTTAGTAGCTTGGAGTCACATTACCTGAGTATATCTGTACTGTCTTTACTCCCACTCTCTTGAAAATATCAATGATATGTTAACAGGTAAAATGATTAATGAGCTCAGAAAATATTGTGTAACATTTCTGTGCATTTGAGACCTCACGTTCTCCAAAAGCAAGGCTATTTGGCTTCTCTCTCTCTTGCAGTGGGAGATGAGAACAGAGATGCCAAGGGAACAAGGCTACTTCTAGAAACCTGGGCTGAACTGAGGCTTCAAAAAGAAGCTTCTCAAAAAAAAAGAAGCTTCTCAGTTTCGTTAGGGAGGCTGAATTTGTCCCTTTGCTGCAGGATCTGCTTGGTCCTGCTGAACTTCTTGTATTGGGCTGAATTCTTTCTGTCTCTCCCTTGAGTTAGGACCACTGTTTACACCTGCAGAGACCCAGTCAGGTGCCTTCCTTCTTGCGGTCAGTTCTTGTGAACTGTTAGTCCGTAGCCCCCAAGACCAGGGCTTTGAGCCTTCCAACGGACTTGTCACTATTTGAAGGCCTGTGTGTCCTAACCAGGCATGAACAGCAGCCGCAGCAGCTCGAGGAGGATTGCTACTCGTTTAGGGACCTGTGCTTTCTGTCTTCCGGTTGCTTCTGCTTTCCTTCCTGGAACCTTTCCTGTCAGTCTAATATTACACAAATTTCTTTTCTGTTTTATATTGAGAATCAGTTTCATTTGCTTATAAGCTATAAGCTCTAACTGCTACAATAATCCTAAATATAGATTGAGCTGGATAAAAGACAAGGAAAGGAAGAGTAAAATGAAGGAGTGTGTATGTAAACAAGCAAACAAGAAAAGTGAAACTTAAAAGTTCACAAATCAGAATTTAAGTTGTAAACATTGGAGACGAAAGGGCTCAATATGCTATGATAAAAGATTTGATTCATAGGAAGATATGAGTCTTAGGGACGCAACAACAAGGAAAAACCGTAGTGGACAAATTCATAATGAAAAAATCTTTAAAAATGAAGGAAGTATAATCAAAGCACAATTATATCGAATTTCAATTTCTCTGTTCCACAGTTTAATGGATAAAACTGAATAAGGAGATACCGTACTGCAAAACCATTAGAGAAACAAGAGAGATGTGAATAGGGAGAATCTATGTGATTAACGTAAAACAGTCATGTTTAGAGAAGTGCGTACAGAGTAACAATCGGAAAACACTGATCACTCATTATACTGGGAAACACTGCAGAGCGGTGATGTCCAGTGCTAGGGCACATACTTAAAGATAGGTACTTTCAAGAGCTATGGGTAGAATTCAAAGTGTTGTAATATTTTAAATTATTACAGTAAATGACAATATTTTGGTAATGTAACATTTAAATATCTCTTAAAACTGAAAGTACTCACACCCTTTCACTCATTGGAACTTTGGGACTAATGAGTATAAATACAAGAATGTTTCCTGCATCATTGTTTGAAGTGATAAAATTGAGGAAAGCCTGAATAATCATAAGAGGCCTACTGCTGAATGAAACTAGCATATCAGTATATGGGAGGTTGCACAGCTGCTGTAGAGCAGGGCCTGTGTCTTGGTGAGGAGTTAGCCCTGGCATGGAGAACAAGTGGCCAAGGTACATATCTGATTGGACCCCATCTGTAAAGTGGGTAGTGAAGCGTGTGTGTGTCCTAGGACTTACATCTGCCAGTGAGAAGGCATGTGAGTGTTTCACCCACACTGGCAACTGTTGTCCCTTTAGGAGGGAAGAGAACCTGGATTCCCTGGTGCCGCTTGTAGGAAGTGTGCAAGGCTTTTGTAGTAGATCAAGTAAAAATTTTACCAACTTAAAAAATCTTCTTGGAAATACTTTTTTTTTTTCAGTACTGGGGATTGAATTCGGGACCTTGTGCTTGCCAGACAAGTGCTTATTCTACTGAGCTGTCTCCCTGGCCTCCTGAAATGCGATTTTTAATTCATAAGAACATGGTATTTTAAATAAAGATGTGGATTTAATTTTCTATGCATCACAGCAGCATTTGTTTTTATTCTCAATCTGAATTTGTAAAAATTACTCATTTTTAATTAGAGGACTAGCTGTTCAGTAGGGTTAGGGTTCTGTTTTAATTCTAAATATTTTTGCATCGAATAGGGGTGTCTTCTTCAGTGGAGTACAACATAATGGAGTTGGAACAAGAACTTGAAAATGTAAAGACTCTTAAAACAAAACTAGGTACTGTACTTTTTTCTTGATGTGTGTGTTTGTTATTAAAGCCCTTACTATAGTCTGAAATCTTAAAAAAGTTTATGAAACTTTAGTTTATGTTCATTGATGAAGACTTTTCCTTTGGAGTGAAAGTATTTTTATTCACATTTAAAATTTTGTATTTATGGAGAATGGCTTCCAAGGTGGTAATATTTAGAGATGCTCTCCTGCCAAGTTTTCACTTGCTTTACTTCTGCTATGTAATGCTCATGCTGGCCTGTTAGTGCGTCTTCTTTGCTGCCGGTTGCTTCTGGCCATTGGGACTAGGAGGGTGGACTGTGACGAGCATTGAGTGCTGCTTGTTCTTTGGCCTCGCTGAGGCTCTTGGATCTGGAAGTTTCTAGTTTTCATCTGTTTGGACAGTGTTGGACCATTAAATTTTGCAACTGTTTTTTTCCCCACCGTGCCACCCTTTTTTACCTCGGACTTCAGTTACGTGTAGCTTGAACCCATTGCTCAAGGACAGTAGGCTGATTATGTCAAAGTCTCTTTCTCTTTCATGGTGGATGGTATCATTGTGTTATCATTTGCTCTACTCTTTTGCATGTGTAATTGGCTTTTTGTTCCATCTGCTGTACAATGTTTCAGACACTGTAGTTTTCATTTTAAGAAGTTTTGGGGCCACGGATATAGCTCAGTGGTGTAAGCGCAAAGTCTTGAGTTCAATCCCTGGTACTGCCCAAAAAAAAAAAACAGAAGTTTTGTTTGGGCTAAATACTTTACTGCTTCTAACGTATTTGGTACAGAGTCCCACTACACAGCTTGGACTTGTAGTGATCCTCCTGTCTCAGCCTCTGCAGCACTGGGATTACAGGCATGTGCCACCATGCCCGGACATGGTGGCTGGCTTAGCATGCCCGGGGTCAGGCCCAGCACAGCATGTGGTGCTGGGGATCAAACCCCTGTTCCTGTACTTGCCTAAGCAGGTGCTTAGTCTGCTGAGCTATCTTGCCAGCCCTTTCCTGCTTCTAATTAGCATATCCAATCTGTGGCCTCCAACTTTATGATAATGCTTTAATGTTTTAGTTTGGTAATTCTAGTATCTGTATTAGTTCTTGGTAAGTTTTAATTGACTTTCCTCTTTTTTAAAAATGTATTTAGTACAGGGTTTCACCACATAGATTGGACTTACCATGATCCTCCTGTTTTCAGCCTCCCAAGCACTGGGATTACAGGAGCGCACCACCACACCCAGTCTCACTTGCCGTCTCAGCCCTGCATCTAGTTTCCTTATTGTTGGTTGCATTTTGTGCCGCTTTGCATGCCGGGCAGTTGTAACATTGCAAGTTTTTCCTTGATGTTTTATATTCTTGTGAGTGAGGCACTTTGTTTTGCAGTGCAGTTCACGTCTTTGGAAAGAGCACAGTCTTGTTGGGTTGGGCTTCAAGACTATTTAGGCTAAGCAGGGCAGCCCTGCCTGTAGGAGGGTTGCCCCACTTCCCCACCGCTGAGGCAAGCACTGTTCTCAGCCTTGGGATTGTCAAGCATTGTTCCCTCCTCATTGTGCGTGTTCTTTCTCAGGTGTGGCTTGTGTCCTCAAATGGCTGAGCTGGTCATGACTGTGCAGGCCCTGACGATTCTCTGAGCCACAGTCTTCTTTCTGTATTTCACTCGGCATGCTTTAGCTGATTTAGACTCTTCAGATCCAGTTTCATGGCCTAGACTCAGGAGTAGTTTGGCCTCTGCCTAGCTTTCTCCTGATTGGATGCTAGACATTGCTAGCATGAAACTGCAGCAACAAGATGCTATATTCTTCTTTTTGTTAGTGGTGTTCCTTTGGCTTCTGCTAGGCCAGTGGAATGGGGACATAGCAGCTTAGGCTGTTTGGGCTTTTGGTCTTCACATGGGCTGGTTTGTTCCAGATTAGCATTAGTCATAGTGTAGAGTTTTTCCTTGGTCCTAACTGCGAGACTGGCTGTTTTGAGCAGGCTTTCATTTTTGCTGCTCGAGAACCTGGAGCCCAGGAGAGCTTTGCAGAGCTTCCCAGCCTCTCGGTTGTGTTTCTGCTCTTGCTAGCCTCAGCCTTGGAGGCCTTAGGGGAAAGGGAGCCTGTGCGTCTGGCTCACCACTTTGCCCTTTCCTTCTCTCTGTGATTATTGCGTCTTGAATTCTGGCTGTCTTGGTAGCCCCAAACTCCAGAGTTCATGTTTCTGGCCCTGTCCTCTTTGCTGAGAGCTTTTCTTAATGCCTTTGCCTTTGACCCATCAGCTTCTGCTTGGTTGATCTCTCGACCCCTGGGATCCATGCTAGCTATGTTCTAATACCTTGCAGGAAAACTGTCACACTGGGAAATGTGACATCTACCATTTTGCAGGATGCAGCCGCTCAATCGTGGTGTTGGTAGCCCTCTGGTATCTTAGTGTAGTCTCTCCTCAAAGCTTGAGTCATCCTTCACTGTTGTTCTCAGTACGTGTGGGGGGGTAATCTGTTGTAGCTACAAGTGCAGGTTTGCTGTCAGCCCTTAGCTGCTTGGAACATGAGATTAGAGATTTTATTTTGTCCTTTATTTATTCAAATATGTATCTATATTCTTACATATATCTACATCAGATATAGTTACTCCTAGATTTTCAAAGAAAGTCATATATCAATAATGGGTTTCCTTAAAAACTGAAATGTCTTTACGGAGCTGAAATTTAAACTCCACAGGATGGTACTGTTAATGTAGGAAATGATTTTATAGTTTATGGAGAAAAATGGATACTTTGTTTTTTGAAACAAATGCATAATGTTTGTCACAGAATGGGATGAAAATATGAATCTGGAGAGAACTTTTGGAAATTACTGCAATTTTTTGTTTTGTTTTTCCTTCTATCAGAAAGGCGGAAAAAGGCTTCAGCATGGGAAAGAAATTTGGTGTATCCTGCTGTTATGGTTCTACTTCTTATTGAGACGGTAAGAATTTATTTGCCTACTTAAGTAAACCATATTATATTTTTATCTCCTTTAACATTTGATTAAGCCAGCTCCCTCAGCTAGATGGTTTCTAGTAAATTAGTTTTCCTTCAACAGGATTAAAATCCATCTATACCTTTATTTGTAAAAATTCAATAGAAAAAATTGGAAATGAATGGCAATTAGGAAAAGTCCTCAAGATGATCTGTTTTCTCATGAACGCAGAAAACTCAGGCTTTTGTTTCTTTGAAAATTAGTGAAGACAGGGTATTGCAAATGCCGTGCTTCAAGGTCTGCCGAAGACTAGAATGTTGCTTTAGGAAATCAGTGCTGTTAATATTTTACTGTGTTTGAAGTCTGTGGAGTTGTGGGTTCCAGTTAGTGAGACCACTTAGTAAATGGGTCTATTTTATTATCTTTTGTCACAGGCTTTGAAATCATAATAATTTTTTGAATCTCTTGGAATTTGTTCTGGAGTTTTTATATCCAGCTTACTTAGCTTTGTATGTAGAATTTTGATCTTGAACACCCTTCTTCTATTCTGTTAATAAAGCATACACTTTATTAATATTTGTCTATTGTCAAAGAAGCCTTTGGAGTTGAGAGCTGACAGCTTACTCTTTGTGTTGCAGTCCATCTCGGTCCTTTTGGTGGTGTGTAATATTCTTTGCCTGTTGGTTGATGAAACAGCAATGCCAAAGGGAACACGGGTAAAGTAAAATGTTTTCAGATGTTTTGCTTTTGCAACTTTCTGTGTACACACACCCCTGTGCTGCAAGTGAGTGAGTGAGAACACTGCCTTTCTCCTGTGTGTGCTTCAAGTTGCGTGAGTATCTTAAGAGCTTTCATAAAAATGTTCATAAACTATAATTTTTTTTTTTTTTTTTTTTACTTTGGATTACTAGGGCCTTTTTCTCAAGCATGTAAGTTTTTTCCTGATTTCATTCAGAGTTGATCTTGGCTTTACTGAATTTGTGATTCTCTAAGATAGTGCATGCATTAAAATAGGGATGTATAAAAGTATATCTCACTTAGGGGATTTGTAAATGTATAGCTGTAGGGGCTTAAGCCTCAAAAATGTCACACATTTGGTGAATCTGTCAAATATACAGTTACTAGAGTAGAGTCAGGTGTACTTTTCATGAATTGAAATTTTTTCTCATTTAAAAATCAGTGATTTTACTAAATTCTCTGAATTAGCCCATTTGAATACATTTTCTATATGGAGTAATTACCACTAAATATTCATATCTGACACACTTCTTCTATGTTTTTCTATACAGTCTTGGCTACTTAAAATGGCATTTACATTTTGACACTTTATATTTTTCCCAAGTCAGCAGCTTTTACATTCTGCATAGCAGTGACTTTAAAACTGTCCAGACTTAACGATTCACTTTTATCTTTCTCTCAACCAGATGATGGTCTTTTTTTCTCACAGAAAAATGTCAGTGTCTGTTTTTATTCCTTTCCTCTAGCCTTGGAAGAAGATAACTTGTTCTTCCAAAAACTAGCTCCTTTAGCCATTTTCTGGATTTGCCCGGCCACCATCCTGGCTGGAATTTGAGCCATCTGCCATCGCCGTGCTCTCACTTAGCTGTGTGAGTCCCCTGCCCCCAGCTTCCCACGCGTTTCACTCTGCAGGCAAATGAGTGACACTTGTCCTGCACCTGGTCTTGTGTCTGTTTTTTGTTTACACCTAAACCCTCAGGTAGAGCCGGAAGTTGCTCCTGCATAGACTTCCTGTTGGTTCTTTGACCCATTGTAGTGTCCTAGCACAACAAGTGAGTCCCATGACCCCTTAGCACATAGCAGGGAGCACCGTGCACATGGAGGGGTTGCATGTGTGCCTGTGTGTGTAGAGCACCGTCATCCTGCTTTAGCCTTCTGTTTTATTAAAAATATAGTTTTATTACCTATTTTATGAAATGCTGGGTTTCAATGTGGCATTTTTATACAGGCACATGAAATACTGTTATCGTACCCCCAAGTTGCTGTTCCTTTGTCCTTCCCTTCTTCTTGTTCGTTTCCTCTTGTCTAATAATATTTTCCCACCTATGTTCATGCCATCTTCTTTTTAATAGATTTCACCTCTTAGACAAAACATGAGATGCTTGTCTTTCTGAGCCTGGAGCATTTTGGTTGATAGAATGATTTCCAGTTTCACTTACTTTTCTGCGAGTGGCATGATTTTGTTCTGTAGTGCTGTGCTCTGTGTATACCACTCTGCTTGTGGCTGGGTACGCAGGCTGATTCCGTCTTGCTACTGTGAACTGTGCTGCCATAAGCACGAGTGTGCAGAGCTCCCTGCATTACGTTGGCTTTAACTTCTGCTGTATGCTAAGGTCTGGTATAGCTAGCTTGAACAGTAGCTATGCTTTAGTGTTTAATGAATCCCTGTACTTATTTCCATAGTGGCTGTGCTAATTTACATTCCCACTAGCAGTGTAGAAGAGTTCCTTTCTTATTCCGTCCTTACCAGTGTATTCTGTCTCGGGTGAGTTAGAATCTCAATATAGGGTTTTTGTTTTTTGGTTTTTTTTTTTTTTTTTTTTTTTTTTTTTGAGACGGTCTCTTACTATGCAAGTCCAGCCTGACCTTGAACTCACCATATCGCCAAGGCTGGCCTCAAACCTACAGTGATCCTCCTGCCTCACCTTCCTGCATGCTGGGATTATAGGCTTGTACCGCCATGCTTGGCTTCTTTGTAGTTTTGATCTGCATCTCTATACTGGCTAGACATATCTGTGTTGATTTTTGTACAGGGTTAATAGGAGTCTGTCTTCAGTCTTGCGAACAGGGGTATCCAGCTTTCTTGGTACTGTTCATTAAAGAGACTCTTCTCTCCAGTGCACGCTTTGGCCCTTTGTCAAGATAGCTTTGGTTGCACTGGTTGGCTTTGCGTCTTCTATTCCATTCCATTGGTCTGCACACCCCTTTTTGTTACTGTGGCTTTGTAGTAGCATTGCAAGTCAGGTGTTATGATGCCTCCAGGCCTGCTCTTGTTACTGAGGATTGCTTTGGCTATTCTAAGTCTTGTGTATTTCCATTCAACTTTCAGCATAATTGTTTCTAAGTCTGTGAACAATGTCATTGGAATTTTTATGGAAAATTTACTAAATCTTTTGGTACTCTGAGCATTTAACAGTATTAATTCTTCCAGTTCATGAACATGGGTGTCTTTGCATCTTCTGTCTTCTTCACTTTCTTTCTTCATTGTTCTGTAATTTTTATTATAGGCAGTTTTTACCTCCTGGTTAGATTGATTCCTGTGTGTTTTTCTTTTTCTTTGTTTGTTTGTTTCTTTGAAGCTATTGTGAATTGAATAGTTTTTCTGATTCCTTTCTGGCAAGTTCATTTTTGATGTATAGAAAAACAGATGATTTCTTTTTAATGTGGATTTTGTATGCTGATACTTTGCTGAATTTGTCAGCTCTAGATATGTTACAAGTGGGCATCCTTGTCTTATTCCTGATTTTCTCCATTTAGGAGTATGTGGGGTATGAGTATTTCATATAGAGGCTTTATTATATTGAGGTAGGATGCTTTTATTGTGAGGAGATACTGAAGTTTGTTGAATGCTTTTTCCTTGTCAGTTGAGGCAATCATGTGATTATTTTTATCCTTAATTCTATTTATGTGCTGTATTAAATTTATTGATTTGCATATGTTAACCCATCCTTGTAGCCTTAGAATGAAACCAACTTGATCATGGTGTGTGATCTCTTTGATGTACTGTTGAACTTGGTTTTCAAGTATTTTATTAAGCATTTATTTTTGATTTTTGATTTTTGATGGTAACAGGGATTGAACTCAGGACCTTGCTCTTGCCAGACAAGCACTTATTCCACTGAGCTATCTCCCTGGCCCCTTATTAAGCATTTTTGCATCTGTGTTCATCAAAGATATCAATCTATAGTTTTTGTTTTTAGTTGATATTATGGTTTAGATCTAAAATGCCCTCCATGGAACCAGGAGATAACTCAGTAGAATAAGCGCTTGCCTGGCAAGCACATAGGGCCTGAGTTCAATCCCTGGTTCCAGGCAGGGGGGGTGGGGGGAATGCCCTCCAGAAGTTTCATGTGTTCAGAGGTGGGGCTTTTGGAAGGTGACTGGATTATGTGGGTGTTGTGCTCATCAGGGGATTGGTTAATCTATTGATGAGTTCATAGCTGAGGTGGGCGTGGTTAGAAGAGGTGGATCACTGAGGATATAATGTGGAAAGGGTTGTTTTTGCTTGTGGCTCTTCCCGTGTCTGTCTGCATCGTGGTTACCATTGGCTGCATGGTTCTCATCTGTCGTGTCCTTCCTTCATACCATCTCTGCCTTGGAGCCAGCTGACCATGGACTGAGCCCTCGGAAGCCGCGGGCCACCATCTGCCTCTCCTGGAAGTTGTGGGTGCCAGGTGCTCTTGCCAGGTGGCTGGAAAGTGACTGAAACAGTAGTGTTCTTGTCTTGTTTTGGTGCCAAGGTGATAGTGGCTGTACAGAATGAGTTTGTGAGCATTCCTTGCCTTTTTATTTTGTGGACTAGTTTGAGGGTCATTGGTATTCTTTGAAGACTGGTAAAACTTAGCAGTGAATCCATCTGGTGCTGGGATTTTCTTTTTTTGTTGAGATTTGTGCATCTGTTGAGATGTGTTTTGGCTTCCTATTTTTTTTTTTTTGAGGGGGCTGGCTCATCCTGCCCTGGGGGTAGGGCTGGCATAGCATGTGGTGCCGGGGATCAAACTCTGGTCCCCTGTGGCTGCCTAAGCTTGCCTAAGCAGGCACTTTATTTTTTTATTTTTTTTGGTGGTACCAGGGATCAAACTCAGGGCCTTGCATTTGCCAGGCAAGCGCTTATTCCACTGAACTATCTCCCCGGCCCCTAAGCAGGCACTTTAGACCACTGAGTTATCTTGCCAGCCCCAGCAGCTTTCTCTTTAAAACATGGAATATGCTATAATATTCTTCATTTGGCCAATAGGCCTTTGTAGGGGAGAAAAAAAATATCTTCTTTTCACTCAATGTACCATTCATGGCTGAGGTTCTTGTATGAAATGAGATTAACAGGAGAAAAGTGGACAGGCATATTTAATAAGGTTTCATGTGATGTAGCCTTGAGAAGTGAAGACTTAAAGTAACTACCAAATGTGTGTGTCTGTGTGAGAAGTGCAGTTAGTGTGATTAGACAGAGAGGGCCTCGTCATGCTGCATGGTCTGCACACGCAGCACGCCCGCACGCCTTCAACGCGAGGCTGCTCCTCTGCACTAGGGAGCACAGCTTGCAGGGGTGCTCTTCTGCTTGCTTCAGGGGAGACGCTCCAGAGGTCACCCATGGGCTTCCTGGGTGTCCTGCAATGCAGAGTTGCCAGGCTCGGAGATAGCATGTCCTTAACCGCAGCAGTCTCTCTTCAAAAGACTGGCAAAAGTGTCTATATGTGAAATTTCTGCTCTGTTCTTATTTCTTTATGCCAAAACTACAATGTATATATGTATATGATAGTATTTATTGTTTAATTTTTTTAGGCTGACTACATATTCTTATTTGTTGCTGGTATTGTAGGCTGGCTACTGAAAAAGAAATTCATATTCAGATAGCTTCTTTAATCTTTAATTAGTAAGTTTTGAAAATAGCGTGTCTACTTTAGTAGGTAATATGTTTCCTTTCAGATCCCATTATATAATGTTGTTTTTCTGCTTTGAGTTTTTTAGTTTTAGGTAAAGTTAAAGCTTGAGACCAGACATAATGTTTCGGAAAAAATAGTGCATTATTTTGTAAAAAAATCTGTATTAACAGTCTTTTTTTTTTTTTTTTTTTTTTCTTTTCTTTTTGTAATTCTCTGAGTTCTAATGGAAGATTTGGGGGAAGCAGAACGTGTATTTACTTTCTTCCCGAGCTTAGTTTAAATTTGTCATCCATCGCGTCATGTTGCCTCAGCCTTTAGGCTTCTGGTCTATTCTGTTGCCCTATTCTGTTTTAAAAGGGCAGCCTAGTGTGGTGGTACACAAATGAGTTTGAGGCAGGAGGGCCATAGATTCTGTCTTATGACAGCATTTTTAAGAATTCCCCCAAGAATATTCAGTATTTTTTCAATTAGCAAGTGATTCTATTTTATAATAGTAAACATGATGATATCTTTTTGACAAATTTAACTTACGTTTGAGTAATCAGATTTTTTGAGTTTGTTTACATTGTTAACATGGTGACGAAAGCACTTTAATGACATTTTATCGGCCTTTGAAAGTACATGTTATTTCAGGATATTAAACATAACTAATTTAAAGTGTTGCATGTATGAAACAGTTTTTGGAAAACCAAATATAATGGTGCCATTACATTCTGAAAAGTGTTTTTCTCTCCCCCAGGGTCCTGGAATAGGACACGCCTCTCTCTCTACTTTTGGTTTTGTGGGAGCTGCACTTGAAATCATTTTGATTTTGTATCCTTCCTTTGACTGAATGTGCTGTCTGTTAACAAGTTTTCTGTCTAGTTTCTGGGACACTGGTAATTTACTAAGACACTTGTCTAGAAGGAAAAACAGGTCAGTCTTCTGCAAGCACGCAGAGTGGCTTTTTGTTTGGTTTTGTTTTTCCTGAGGGCCCTAACACTTTTGGGAGGCTGCTGAGAACCTATGGAAGCTTGCATTCTTTTGGAGGGTTTTCCTTCATTCTCACAGCTATCTTATGGTGTCTTCCGTTGTTGGTTTCTATAGCCTCCGATTTTTTGGAAACTTTACACCCAAGAAGGATGACACGACGATGACAAAGGTAAGGTAAAGTCTTAGGTGAGTGTGGCCTTCGCTAGCTTCCTAAGACAGAGGGACTGTTTTATTTAGTAATCTCCCTGAATGGCTCATCTGTTGTGATAGATATTTGTTTGTAAGTTGCATAAACACAAACTGGAAGATTCTCAAAATGTCAGATGACCGGGAAAAGGCTGTGCTGTTAATTTGGATGGCGCCCATTCACTTGTAAATGTGTGTGGAAGAGTGCCTTAACCAGCTGGAGAAGGCGCCTGAAAGGACGCTTGCGCCTCTGAGGAAGACGTGTCGCTAATGAGTAACTTTGATTGTGCTGATTGTCCTTCAGGGGGCTTGTTTGTAATCTGAAGACTTTAGTTGCTACAAGTAGTAGAGACAAAGTATTTCAAATTTGAATAATTAAAGTAAGACAAGAATTCTATTCAGAAATTGCGCTGTCTGAGACTAATTTGACTTCCTAAGTTATGTTCATTGGCTTCGAAATAGTGCAGGCTGTTGTCTTACATAATGACTGAATTTTTGTAAAGTATTCCCACAGGCTAACAAACAAGAATAATGGAGAGCTGCTGTTTTTTTAAAAAAGTATACATTCCATATTTTTAGCCTAAAGGGGAGACTTTTATATATATTCATATATGTATTTATATACACAAATATGTAGTGCTGTGACGTCACTGAAGTCAGTACACAGCGGAGGTATCTGGTTTAAGCTGTTATATGTATTAATATTTCTAGCTCCTATTTAACATGAAAAAAATAAGTATAGGATATATTGAAAAAGAATTAATAGAGTTTAGATATTTAGATTTCCAGTATTTCTTAAATTAAACCTTACGGTATTTAAATGTATTAGAAGTAGATGTTATGGTCCTGGGGAGATAGCTCAGTGGAATAAGCACTTGCCTGGCAAGCGCAGGGTCCTGAGTTCAATTCCTGATACCAGAAAAAAAAAGTAGATATTATATAAAAATTTAACCAATAATTAGGCTTTAAAAATATAGTCAGAAAATTAAATGTACTATTTCTCTTGACAGGTAAAACTATTTGAAATTGGCAACCATATCAATAATGTAAAATGCGTTATGTGTAGAATAATATGTATCTATGACTACATTTGTGTACTGTAAATATTTTCCAGAAATCACAGATACAACTATTTGTAGAACAAGGTTATTATTTTAAAATTCTGCACTGAACATTAAATGCTGTGAAGAGGCTGGCAGAGTTCCGCAGGTAGCTGTGTCCCACCGTAGCGTCCCAGAATGGGGATGGCTTTGCCATTGTCCTCTGTTTGCTGCCCAGCGTTCTTCTTGGTCTCTCTCGACAGATCATTGGGAACTGTGTGTCAATCTTGGTCCTGAGTTCTGCTCTGCCTGTGATGTCCAGAACACTGGGTAAGTGCACATGAGGAATGTTGACTTAAAATCTTGTCTTTTTAATTTTTTTTATGTATTTGTTACGGGGTCAGACTCATAGTGATCCTCTCGTTTTCAGCCTCCCTAGCACTGGGGTTACAGGTGTGCGCCACCACGCCTGGTCTCCACCACGCCTGGTCTCCGTGGCTGGCTCAGCATGCCTGGGGAGCCGGCACAGCATGTGGTGCTGGGGATCGAACCCTGGTCCCTGTGCTTGCCTAGGTAGGCGCTGAGTCTGTTGAGCTATCTCACCGGCCCAAAATCTCATCTTTCAAAGATGTCTTTACCAGCATCTCTAACTCACCATAGAAATTCAAAAGATCAATTTGAAAACATGGTGTTTCTTCCCACATCATACCATATCTGGAGTCCTGTACTTCATTTATGTATAGGCCCGTACTAACACAAGTACTTTTGTCAAATAAAGACCTTTTTTGTCAACATTTAAAACATTTCTTTCTCCGGACAATAGACTGGGATCTTTGTTTATTTGATCATGTTCACAGGTTAAACTTTTAAGTCTTCTAATGAGGAAACTGTGGGCTTATAAAAAAAGTTAGGAATTTGCAACCGTATCAAAATCTGGATAATAGTAGACTAATTTTTATTATATGAACTGCCTTCCCAAAGATAAAATTTTGTGTGTTGTTTTAAAATCTGTAAATCTGTGGACACAGAGGACACCTTGTGTTCCTCCCTTCGTCGTCAGCGTGCAGGGATGTTGTGGTCACCTTTTCAAAGTGAAACAGATTCCCACTTTGGGGATACTTGGGAAAGTCTTCGTTTGGCCTTTTTATCTTTATAAAGCACTGCTGGAGACTGTATAGTCAAGTCTTGGCCAAGTATTGTTTCAGACCAAAGTTTCTGTCATGATTTTCTAGATTTAGGTTTTAGCTTAAGAAGTTAATAATTAGAGAAATGGTTGGAAAGCTTGTGTGAGTAACGCTGAGCACCGTCTCGCGGCGGCGGCGGCGGCAGGGCCTGCGGTGCGCGCGCTCCCGGTGGCGTCTCTGGCAGGGACTCCGGGCTCAGCCCTGAGCTGCAGGCTGTGCGAGAGGTGGGAGCTTCGCCGCGATCTGGTTCTTACAAAGAATTTCACGTTTCAATAGAGAGGGGAAGTGTAAAAGGAACTCGGAGTTCGCAAGCTGACCCAAGCCCCACGTATCCGGTGGTTTTCTTTCAGGTTTGCTTTTTGGGGTTGTTACTGTTTTGGAACCTGTTATGGTGTGCTAATCTTGAAAATGCCAGAAATGCACACCTCAGGAATCTCACTGGAAGCTAAACTTTGTCGTATGTGTTATGACACTCCATCAGATAATTCATTAAGATAGCTTTTGTGTCATTTTAACATTTAGGAAACTTATTTACCATGCTTTGTTATTTAGGATTAATTGCAAATTGTTAAAATGTACTGATTTTGTTGCAGAAAATTATATGCTGAACCTGGTTTCACTACAAAGAAGACAAATTAATGGTAAAATTTACTTTTTGAAGGCTGACAAATTCCTAAGCAGTTTGCCATAGAGATAAATAAAAAGAAAAAGAAAGAAAGAAAGAAAGATGGAACAATTAAAATGCAGCTAACAAATGCCTGGACCCAGCTGTCCAAACAGGATTAATGGAGTGCATTAGGGTACAGTGAGTCATGTGGCGCTTTGCAAAATATCAACACGCACTGCAGTACATGTTATGCCCAGTGGCACTGAATAGATGAAAAGAAATAAATACGTTAAACAGATTCATAGAGGCTTTTCACAGTATTAAAAAAGCAAATTTCTAGTCTGAAGATAAAGCTTTATTTTAGTATTATGGGAAATGCAAACTAGAGAGTTACTTTCTAATTCCTCTATTAACCCTTTAGAACTGAGCCTTTGATTTTAAGAAGGTAAAATATAGAGAATTGTTGTGAATATTATCTTAGTGTATAGCAGGATTTTGATTTACTAGCTGAAAAGCTTGTAAGACTGGAATAGAGAATGTGTTTAACAACCGAATTCCAAGCTGTGAAAATTTTCACTCTCTTTTGCGCCTCTCACAGGGAAATCTGACCCGAGCATGGTCGTGTTTGCTCCTGTGAGGTCAGCCAGCCGCAGCGCATCACGAGGCGAAGTGCGGCAGTGACAGGAAAAGTCACATTTCACTGCACATGCAGGCTTTCTCTTACTTTAACAATGTTTTAGTGAGGACTAATTTTGACTGCAAATTAAAAATACTTTCATTATAATGAATTTAATGATTCTTTGGTTCAAAAATAAAAATGTTTTGTGGAGGTTTTTTTGTTTTTTTTTTCTTTTTAAAAATTTGCCAGCTGCCGTTAGTGGTGCTTCGCAGGCATCATAAGCAATAGCTTTAGCTTGATGTGCATGATGCTATATAACACATGATGAAAGAATGTCTCTTAAATACCTTGTTACTCTTGAATGTGGAAAGTTTATAAATTGAAAAATAACCAGTAAATAAGTTGTGTACCATATTTCTTACTACAAAGAATAAAGTTGTGAAGAATATTTTGACCAAGTATTTCTAGTCAGATGTATGACTATATAGTCCAGTGTTATTGCTCTGAGGAATCACAGAGAATCTATTCTTCTGATTTTTTTTTAAAATCAGAATCCTTTAGGAAACTTTAAAAGCAAGACCATGCCCATACGTTAGAGCACTTTTGTTTCAGGTTTAAACTTTAGTTTGAAGAGTCCACATTTTTGAGGGTTTGATGTTCAGAGTTTTAGTAAGAAGTTGGCTGTTTAGTTTACTAGACCTTTCAGGTGATTAGCAGAGATGCCTCCAAGCAAGGAGAACAGTACCGAGCCAGCCCTCCTGTGTGTCTAGTTGGGGACACAGATGGACGCCCATTTTGGGATACAAGTGTTTTAGATGTTGCGACGAATGTGTAAGGATTTTATGTGACTGCTGACGTTGCTCTTTGTTGTGCTTAATCAAGAAAGCAGTGAGACCTTGCCTTTTTCTGTTAATCTTTATTTGAAATTTTCTTCAACCAAATGAGAAGATTTTTTCTCAAATGTAAACAACAGTCTGTGAAATTTGTTTGCTAATTTCTATTTCAGAGTTATTTTTATGGCTTTTTAAAAATGGAGGTTCTTTCTGTAACTTGAATAAGTTATATAAGGTCCAAATTTAGATTTTTTTAAAATGTATTTTTATAATATTAAAAATACCCTTTTAAAATAACTGGACTTTATTTTCAGTATTTCAGTAGATTTCTCATTTTGGTCCCATGCTGGCTGTCATCTTGCAAGAGATAAGATGGATTATTCTCTTTTGTTCCATGATTAAGGGATCTTGCTAAAATGGATTTTTTTCTTTTTCTTTTTTTTGAGAGGCCTTTATTTGGGGTTTTGTAAATATACCACTGATCTTTACCCAGAGCTTTCCCTTTCCATTTCTAGTTGTAAAACAGAAATAAATGATGTTTTTCAGATGATTAGCCATGTCAAATATGCAATAGAAATATAACTCATGTTTCCAATTATGATATTGATATAAAAGTAATCTCAAAACTATAGCCAGAAACTTCTTAGTAGAAAGTTTATGTATGATTTTATATCCAGATGTATTACAGAAAATAATTAATTAAATTTTGATCGGCTGATCTACTTATATTTGAACAATAAATTTATATATCTACTTAGGACATTTAAGAGTGAAGAATTCTTGTAAGCGCAAGGTCCTGAGTTCAATCCCCAGTACCAAGAAAGAAATTCAAGAAAAGTGAAGAATTATTTTATTATTATTTTTTTTTATTTTTAAATTATTTTGTTTTTGTATGTTCAGGGTCTTACTACTAGATCAGACTCATAGTGATCCACCTGTTTAAAATTCTTGAAATGTTCTGTGCCTGCAGTAGTGAGGAGAACCACCAACAACTACCTAGATGCCCCGTCCCAGTATCTGCTTATCTTGTGTTTCTAGTGCTGTACCTGTTACAGAGAGCTGTAAGCTTGTTGCGAAAACATTACATTGCTCACATGGATCTAAATTTAGGTACTTCTTCGTATACAAAGCCTGTAAATCTAGTTTTCTATCAAACAACTTTCATATGAAAAGAATTGCAGTCAGATCATTTAACCAGAAGGAGCCATAGAGGCCTTTTTGTCTGTTTGCTTGTTATTCTGACACCAGGTCTCACCATTGCAGTTCAGGCTGGCCTTGAACTTGAAGCAGTCCTCCTGCCTCAGCCTCCTGGGATTACAGGTGTGCACCACTGTGGGTGGCTTGTAAGAGGCCATTTTGTAAATGGTACAGTGCACATCTTAAAATTATAACTAAACAATTATAGAAAGGGCCTAATTCATCCTAAGAATGAAGGCTACTAGCCTGACACTTTTTGTTGTTTTTTGTATTTTAGGGAAGGGTCTACAGGGTATTTAGGGTCTCACTACTAGATTGGACTCATAGTGATCCACCTGTTTATAGTCTCCCAAGATCTGGGATTACAGGCTCGTGCCACCACACCCAGTCTCAATTGCCATCTCAGCTCGCCCCAGGGATGGGGCTGGCAGGGCAGGCCCAGAGATCGAACCCCCAGCCCCTGCACCTGCATGCAGGTGCTTTAATCCGCTGAGCTATTTGGTTGGCCCTTAGCCTGAGTAGTCTTAGTAGCATATGTGCTCAGTCAACTCTGAGACAGATTAACAGATTGTCTTAATCATAAGAAAAATGCATGAATAGACAGTTGTTATAAAAATATTAAAAGTTAAAGATAGGCTAAGATTATTTATGACCACAACTTTTAAAACCCCTGTCTCTTTAGAGTTTCCACAACCCACTCAGACCATACCTTTTCAAATCGCGCGCGCGCGTGTGCGTGTGTGTGTGTGTGTGTGTGTTGGAGGGTGGTTGGTGTTCTCTACAGGAGATTTAACTCTCACCTGGATGTGATTCTGTTTCTGCTTCTCCTCTTGGCATTCCTGTTAGGTGTTCTTTTGGTACCGGGGATCAACTTGGGACCTTGCTCTTGT